TCTTTTAAAGTTATATAGATTAATTCTTTCATCTGAATAGTCCGATGTATCAAATTTTGCTTCAAGGTCATTACGAATATCTTTATAAAAATCTTCAGTTTTTATTGTATAGATAAATGAATCAGTATCCATATAATTTGAGAGTAACTTTTCCTGAAACTTTGGCTTCATATATTGATAGTGAAAATCATACATTTTCCATTTCGATAAGTCTAATACTGCAAATCCTAAATACATTGGCTTATTAAATAGAACGGACAATCCTTTCATTTGAATTCCATAGAAATTATCATTAATTTTAGTTGCACTATGAAAATTGGATTTTGAAATTAAAGTTTTGGCACAATGTGCTCTTCGTCCAGTCTTGGAGTTATCCGGAGCTTCCCATGAACTAATAAGCTTAATATCGACCCTGCGCTCGGGATCTTCCATTGTTTTTCCGTAAACAGAATTATTCATTAATTCAAAAAAATCTTTTTCAAATTTATTTTTTGCCTATGTAAAGTATTTAGATCAATGTAATTCTTTAACCAAGGCTTTTGTAAAAATTGAACACCTCTATGGATCTTTTTCAATACTAACCCATTCTGTATACATTGTTGCAAATTCCGATAATGTATTACATAATTTTTCTTATTTCCCAGGTCAGCAATTAATTTTTTTACCTTATCCTCTTTTGAGGCCAGACAATTTGACGGACAAAATGGAATATCATTATGAAGATCATGTAAACGGTATGGATATATTAAGTCCACTTCCAAAAAATAACCGTATTTGCTATCGATTGGAATATTATTAATATCAAAATTGTCTATGTCTGTGGTAGACATCCACTTAAAATCTTTATATGGTAAAGGTTGTGACATTGCCCAACCATACAAGTTATTCGCATCTACATACATTAAAAATGAAGACTCCTTCGAGGAATCATAATCTGACAAATATTTGTTATTTGCTTTTGTATATCTATGACAACATTGAACTAAACCACCTCGAATGCTACTTTGAATAAATCAATACTTATCTATATCTGTCAGCAATTCAAGTTGAATATTTGTAGATTTCAACATTGCCTCCCAAGATAGACCTGGTGTCGTAAAATACTGAGCTGGGTCAAGTGAATAAATTTGCATACAAATTTTTCGGAAGTTTTCAAAAATGTCGGTTAAAAGAAATACATCAGTTTTTAAATATAATTCTAAATAATCTTTAAGAGTGGAACAAGAGAAATGCGACCAAACTTTAAGAGCTTGATCATAATCTTCCTGAGAGCATTCCCTTTCCGTTAAATTACTATAGAATGCTTCCCTTGGTGGGAGGGAAGTTTCCTTGAGTCTACTAGCGGAGTCCAAATATTCATAGGGAAATATACCCTTCTTACGCATTAGTCCAAATTCTATATCATTACTGAAAAATGATTTAACAGTGTTCAATTGATCATCAACTAAATTAGAAGCTAGGGTGTCTAAACTTGATGGCATAAATCTATATGTATCGAGAAAACGAATTTCAAAACTATTTCCACTTAAGCTTTTTATTTTCTTTGAGACAGAAATATAGTTTTCCTTATTTATTGGTATTACGGAAATTTCACCGGGAATCTTTCCCAACTCTTGAATAAATAAATGACAGTCGTATTTCGAAAAATTATGAAAAAATACTGGTATGAATTTGTTAACTTTATAATCCAAGTTACACTTAGAGTGGGCTGCACCTCTAAAGCGACCTGTGAAATGACAATGATCTCTAACCCTATCAGTCCCTAAATCTTTCAATGAATTATCAAATATTTGCTGGTCATCCAAAGTCATTCTCATAGGAACTATTTTATTTAAGTAGTCATCACTCAATTTACTTAAATTTTTTATCAATGAATCTACAAAACTTACTCCCGAATTTTTTCCTGTTTCTAAACCAAATTTATCTAGTCTAGAATCAAAAGCACACTTTATATAATACGCATATGATATTGGAATATGCTCATTAATCTTTGAGACCTTTTTACTGCAGAGCGTCTTGTGTTTTAATGCAGCTTCCTGGGTTCCGGAAAAATTCAAACACACATTGCAGAAATATTGCGCCCTCTCTTGCTTAAAAGAGATAAAAATGTATAAAAGAATTTACCTTGAAATATTTTTAATGTACATGTAATGTCCATTTCCACCTTCTTCCAAAAACATCATATTGATATGAAGAGGCTTTTCCACTTCCGATTGAAAAAGCGGTCCAATTATTTCCCTCGTCTCTTCATTATATCCGAATACGTTTAAACTCATATGAGTATTCTTCTTTAAAAAATTTTTTATACATTTTATTTCAAGGGGGAAAGTCAACCCTGTGAAATCTAATATTATTTCAACACTTATACGAATTATCTCCAGCGATATATCAATATTATATGCCGAACATCTTTGCGGCCTGTTAACAATTTTCAAGGCAGAAATCAAAGCCCATTTAAAACAATAGTGATCATTTTCGTTACAAACGTTAACTATTGCTTTTTTCATTAAAAGGAAACGAGGTAGTGGTATGAAAGATGAACCAGCCATCGGTGTATAATGATTCACATTCATTTCCAAGCGAATCAATTTTATAAGAGACCATCCACTATCTCTCTCTTGAAATTCTTGTGTTTTTGAAATTATTTCCATGGTATGTTCATGGAAGATATTTTCTAAGTCAGAATCTTTGTTCATGATCTTCATTTTACTTTGAAAACTGTTCATATCAATTTCTTCAGATTCATCTTTAAAAAGTATATACTCTGCAAACAGTTCAAAGTTGAATTTTGCTGAAGTATAACTTTCTAACAGAATGCTGAGATGAGGTAGCAGGGACAATCCAGCTTCACTCAAGAAACTCTCTGGTAAGATCAAGCCCGATCCATCGTTTACATACATGTAATGTAGTATTCTTCCCTTGAATCCCTCAGAAATTTTTTTGACTCTTCCGTCAAGGGGTTGAATTGCATTTCGCTTATGCAACTCCGAACGGACATGATTTGCCCACTTATTCTTTAGCAAGAAACACTTGCAGGATTGACAAAACTGATTTTGGTTATTCATTTATATTTTATTCGTTTTGGTAAAATTCTTTTTTCACGATCACTTTTTTCACTTTTACTTAAGTTGTGTTTGACGTAGCAGAGTATCCCACTTCAAGACTATTTTTGGTAGACTAACTATTGTCCTCGATCATTTATAGTGTTTGAAGTGGGCGTGTACGATAATATTGAAGATGAGAGGTGCATACTTAAGATTTTTTTAAATTCAAAAACTAAGGTAATTCTAGTAGGTTATATCGACTATTCATTGGTTAGAAGAGATGAGAAGTATTGATTTTGAAAAATATTTGATACATGTGTAATCAATCGGACACCATCAAATCGATAAAGGAGACACAAAATCATAGAATTAAGGAGAGTGTTGGTTAGAAGAGGTCGCACATACTTTGCTGCAGGTGGGAAAGGAAAGGTCATTTTTGAGACACACCATCATACTCAGGTAGCCAATAGGGGACAGTTTGGAAAAAATCATTTCGAAATTGGGAAAAAACAAAGATTTTCATTTGTTGAATTTCGAGAATGCACATTTTTGGGTAAAAGAAGAGGAAAAATCAAAGATTTTCATTTGTTGAATTTCGAGAATGCATATTTTTGGGTAAAAGAAGAAGATGAAAACCTGTAGAAATTTCCTTATAAATCGTGTAAGCATATTTAAAAGGGTAAGACGAGATTGTTGACTTAGATAGACAACATGCATTCAGTTAAAATAAATACCTTTTTGAATGTATTTGACGGAATTCTGTTCAATGCACACTATGTACGGCTCCAGTTCATACAATCAAAACTCTTTGAATGTGAACGAGGTAATATAAAAACATCTATTCATGGAAATCATATGGACACCTGCGTGTGGAGCAATGATGCAGCCACTGAGGGAGTTGATACTTGTGTATGCCATCGAATTTCGGATTACAAAAGGGAGGCACTCAACATTATGAATAAATACTTTAATCTAGAAAAAAGAATGAAAATGATTAAATAACATAATAAAACATGTTCGCAGTACCAAAATAAACTTCTGACTTTTTATTTCGAGATAAAATTACAGGTACGGAGAATGGAAAATATTTCCTTGACTGAGATATGTCGGCTACTTGCGAGTTGTTGCGCGGTCGTGATTTCAACCCCTATTATGGGAACGTCGTATGAGCTCGTATGAGGTCGTTGGCGTGAGGCCCATGATCTTGTCAATGAGCGTGCGCCTTCTGGGTTGTGCATGTGTCTCTTTTATTGCGGTCAGGTAATTGACAGATGCGCATGTTCGGGTAGCTCTTGCTTGAATCCCTTTTATGACATGTTTATGACCCATTTGTGGAAAGGAGAGAATCTTAGACAATTTACCAGTTAAACGTTCTGGGGCGGAAACAAAAATGTGTATTTGAAAATATTCCACATCTGAGAATCATTAACTTGTGAGATTTATTTTATTGGGGTTCTTTTGATTTCTAAATTAGTTTTACAATCATAGGAAACATTATTCCCCAACATGATCGGACATGTTCCTCTAAGATAACCATCTTTGAATACTTTGGGTGTGCGACCTTTCACACGTGCACAGCAACACCTGTGATAATGAGGCAAAAGGGTACGTGATCACACCTTTCCCCAGCATGATCGGATATGTTCCTCAAAGATAACAACCTTTGGATACTATGGTTGTGCGACCTTTCTCACGTGCACCTTTCTCACCTGACTATTAATTGCACATAATGAGGGGAAGGATTCATGATCAATATTGTCACATGGGGATGTGGGGGCGATGGGGGCAATTAAGTATACTCTTTATAGACATGATCGCGACATTTTTATGACTTCAAAGCCCATTAAAATCAGTTAATTTATTGGATTATGCTGATTGTCCCAGAACCCGCATACGTTAATGAGGGGGGGAGGGGGGCCGGGGGCCATTAATATGCTAATTGTCCCAGAACCCGCGTTTCCCTACTACTGCTGTCGAACTGTTTGTTACTCCTATATTGCTGGAACGGGTCGTTCATGTGGAGCTGTGTAAACTAAATCGCAATAGCGAATTCATGTATGTTCAAGCAGTCTTGCCCATGGATACGGCGAGGGGTCTGCGGGGGTTGAGTCGCCGCTTGGTAACGAAGAAACAAAAAATTGCCACAGTCGAGGGACCGTGGTGGCTAAGCTGTCGCTCTGATGGACAAAAAAGCGAAGCTAACAAAATTGGAATACAAACGTCGGGGTGTCGAGTTCGAGTGTTGTAGTGGAGTGGGGAGCGATAAAAATACAAACCCAAGATTGTTGAGAAGCTAACACAAAGATTTTCGGTGCAAGCAAAAAAAAACAACTACATATAAGGGGTGAATTAAACGCACATAATTTAAATGAGACAGTGACAGTCGCCAAAGAAAATAATTCAATAAATGCAAAATTAATTTATTTTCCAGCAGCGCCTTTGCGCCTAGTCTGGGATATTTAATAAGTCTGGTTGATATATGGGCAATAATGTTTGGCACTAAGATATTTATTTAAAAAATTTAAATAATGCAAACAACATACAACGATAAACAATTACAATATCACATGTGATAATACCAGAGCTCGCAAATAACTGTCGACCGTTTCTCGTTGTCTGGAAATAAGTGTCTTTTCCTGACTCTTTACGAAAAGACTTAGAGAGCAACCGATTTATGGGATCTTGAATGAGCTCGCTCGCGCTCAGAGCGAAACCTTTTTTTTCTATTCTGTTTTGTTATGGTTGTTCCAGGACCGTTTTGTCCTGTTCAGGTGAGGCAAACAGTATTTTGCGTATGTATTGGTATAAACTCACACGCATAGGCAAGCAAATCGTTAATCGTCGGTTTTGCAGCCGACATATATTAATTGCAATCGTGAACTGAGTGTGTGAAGTTGTGCAATTATTTTGTTCTGTAAAATGGGAAGAGAATTGAATAAAAAAGTGCAACAATTCTTTAAATTGAATTTGGAAGAGAACAAGTCAATATGTAGTGTTTGTGGTATTAAATTGTCCGGCAATCATTCAACAAACCTTAGACGGCATTTAAGAACGAATCATATGGACATTTTCAATGAGTGGAACAATTCTGGACATTCACAATCAACGCAATGTGAAGAAAAACGAAAAATATCGTATCAAGCGAGCGAAGAAGCAATTGTTTCTTCTTTGATTAAAATAGTAACCACGGACGGAAAACCATTTATATTTCTAGACAGTGAAGGGTTCGAAGAAATTATGGATCCAATATATTATGCACTTGGCATGAACCCTGTAACGTCTCGAAATATTATGAATTTTGTGTCAGTCAAAGAGCAGTTTGTCAAAGAAAACATAAGGGCTCTTGTGAAGGGAAAGCTGGTGTCCTTGAAAATCGATGTTGCCACCAGAATGGATAAAGCCATTCTGGGAATAAATTTGCAAATGGTCCACGCAAGCCTGGCTAAAACCGAGATTATTGTAAAGACTTTAGGCATGATTGAGCTCGGGGGATCTCACACTGGAATATACATAAAGAACAAAATTCTAGAAGTCTTAGATGATTATGGAATATCACTAGATCAAGTCTACAGGTAAAAATTTAGCTACATACAATTTTAAGAAAATATGTGATTTTCTTAAGAATTTTCACATTCATGCACACAGCGTTACGTCTGATAATGGGCGAAACATGATAAAGGCCGTCCAAGTGTTAAATGATGCCACAGAGGAATTCCTTTTTGAAGAAAACACAGAAAGTGAGAATCTTCTGAATGAACTGGATACTATTGAACTTGCTAATATACACCTTGTGAGATGTGCAGCACACAAGGCAAAGGAGATCGCCGATAAAATAAGTTCCTGTCGCACATTATGCAAATCGCTGCGCATAGAAACATATAGGTAAGTAATGTTAAGTTATATTTATATATATATATTTGTATATATATATACATACTATTTATAAAATCTATGCAGACGTATCTTAATTGAGAACCAAAGAAACATACCATCGCTCGACGTTGCTACAAGGTGGAATTCAACCTATTTAATGCTAAAAAGATTATTGGACCTAAAGGATTTTCTGGCTACGCAGTCTTATATTTGTGTAGATCCCGATTGGGATTGGATCGAGACGTACATTGACGCTTTCAGTGATGCATACCAGGCAACCCTAAAGCTACAAGACAAAAATTTAGTTTATAGTGAGTCTTCGTAGTATGGATGGAACTAAAATTGAAATGCGAGAATAGTCACAATTTGATTAAAAAACAAGGTATCAGATACCCGTTACTCAGCTAAATAGAGATATGCAAGTAGCAAAGCGAGATTAAAATGCGCAACCTACCGGCGGTATACAGATTTAAGCGTTATGGGCGTTAGAGTGGGCGTGACCAATACATTTCAGTTGAAATTTTTTATCTAGCATAAAAATTGTGGGCGTCACAGGCTTTCGCGGTTTGTGGGCGTTAGAGTCGGCGTGGCATATTCGCGTAACAAACTTGCGCTGCGTATAAGGCTACGGAATCTAAATCTAAAATCCCAATTCTCTATCTTTGATAGTTTCCGAGATATCCACGTTTATATCTACGATTTTTTAAAGTTTGTGGGCGGTTTATGGGCGTTAGGGTGGGCGTGGCAATCGATAGGTATTGATGAGAACATTACATTTCAGTTAAAATTTTTATTCTAGCATCAAAACTGTAGGAGCCACAGTTTTGGGCGGTTTGTGGGCGTTATAGTGGGCGTGGCACTCTACGGAAACAAACTTGCGCTGCGTAAGAAGCTCAGGAATCTGCACGCCAAATCTCAATAGCCTAGCTCCCATAGTTTCCGAGATCTCAGCGTTCATCCGGACAGACAGACGGACAGACGGACATGGCTAGATCGACTCGGCTAGTGATCCTGATCAAAAATATATATACTTTATGGGGTCGGAAACGCTTCCTTCTGCCTGTTACATACTTTCCGACGAATCTAGTATACCCTTTTACTCTACGAGTAACGGGTATAAAAACTTTCGGCACAGATAAAAATAAGAGAAAGTAAGTCGTTAGAAAATGAAGCATTGTTGGCAGCGATTAACATGGATCCTCGGGTAAATTGTATGTTGACGAACTACCAGAAATCGTTAGCAAAGACTAATTTAAAAAAATAGCTTTTCGTTTATTTGAGTTGAAACAAGTAAGGCTGTATGTCGTAGAATGTTTGAAATTTGGGTCCTGTTTTGTGTATGTGGTAATTTTAAGAAACTATGTTAATAATTAAAATTGTCTTCGTCAAATACTAATACTTGTACTAAACTAAAATCCAAAAAACATTTCATACTTATTATAGCTTTGTTATTTAAGGCACAAACACCAAATGTTCCGGCGCTCGAAACTCCTGTGCGTGAAGAGATGTTTGACTTCTCATTCTCGTCAACTCTTTCAACCGCATCCTCATCTGAAGAGAAGTCGCTGTTCTCGGCATTTTTGGACGATTTTCAGACAGTGTCAGAAAGCAAAAAAGATCCTGTTTCTGCAAAACTTGTCAAAATTTATGCTGACATCGAAAACTTCGACGTTACTTTTGGGCGTTGCCATTAAATTCAAATATATTGGAGTTTTTTAATGACTTGCAGCTTAAGCTTCCTCATATAAGTGCACTAGCGCAAGTTGTGCTGGCGACACCTGCAACGAAAGTTTCCGTCGAACGGGCATTCTCAGCCTTACACTTTATATTAAGTGAACGAAGAAGTTCGATTAGTGCAGAGAATCTGAACGCCTTATTAGTTATAAAGCTTAACACATAATATATAAAAAATGTTAAATGTTAAAATAAAATGTAAAAACAACATATTCTGAAACTTTTTATTGCTTTTTGATATCAAACCAAAACATTTGAAAATAAGTTTAAAATGTTGTATTAAACAAATTATATTATTTCTTTTTCACAACAACGAAAGTAAATGTGAAGACCGTTTGCGTTGAGTTTTTCGGTCAATCGGTCTTTTGTTGACTGCCATTGTGAGAGCGTTTCTCATTCCGCTCTTTACGCACTGCTCATTAAAGAGCAACATACAACGAGCTCAACGAAAAGCGCTCAACAGAAAACATAAATGATGACAGCAAGTGTCTCTTGCTCAGAGCGAGAGCGAGACAGTAGGACCTTTTTCGTTTTTGCTCGCAACGAGAGCACGAGAAGAAAAACGGTCAACAGTTATTTGCGAGCTCTGGATAATACCAATTAAATTGTCAAACAGTTAACGAATATGTTAATTAATAAAAATGTTCACACGCAACTTTAATACGGAGCTGCAAAAATATTCTGGCAGTGTATGTATTTAAATATTTAACAAATGCAGATGCCGGGAAAATATATGTATGAGGGGCTCACTTACATGGTTTCCCAATTTTATATCAATGGGTAATTTACGGTGGGCGCCAATTAGGTTTAGTATTCCCCTATCGGTGCTGACGTGATCCCGCGCAGCAGTCTAGGGTTAAGGCCGGCCTACTGATTGCGGCCAGTGAGCTCGTGGGCGCAGGGGGAGCCCGGAGCAGCAGCAGTGAATTGTGGGCGGCCGGGATGCTGGCCGATGCGCGTATGTGGGCGCGGGGGGTAGTCCCTCGCTGCAGTCACAATATTGAGGGGCCGGCTGGCCGTCGGTAATCCACTCTTAGACGGGACGGTTGGCCGTGGAGCATCTGTTGCAGAATTATGAAGATTATGCTGGAAGGAAACTATCCTCCTTTTCTTGCTGGCCTAGAGACTCAGTCAATATTAAAACAATACAAATTTAACGGCAGTTGCCGGATTTATTTTGTAGAGAACTTCTGTTCTTTATTTCTTGAATGCCAAAAGGGAACTGAATCTTAAAGCTAACATAATTGAGCTTCATAGCGGCCACTCCAATGGGCAGTGCTTGCCACCTATGTATGAGCTTCCGGCCAAACTGCTGACACAGCGTCTGGACTTTTGGGCGATCGGTTAATGCCGTCGCCGGCTGAGTTATTTAACTTACACAACCCAAATTTTTGAAGACTTTTTTAGTGTAAATTAAAATTTGTTATATAGATCAATACCTTCCCATTTTTATTTTAATTGAAAGAGTAATCTGATGGTCAAGGCACTCCACTAAAGAGTTCTTCCTTGCTTTCCTCTTCTAAATGCGGATGCTTAAGAGTAGACAAAACACCGAAGTTATAATTTTTTTACATACCTAAAAAATGTATTTTTGATCATTCCTATCGGAGCTATAGGATTTTCTTGTCCGATTCGGCTCGTTCCGACTGCAATAGAAACAAGACTTTTGGGAAGGTTTCATAAAACTGAGTCCCTAGTTCGCGTAAGAGGGGACAGAAGGACATGGACAGATAGACTAGTCAAATGATGCTGATCAAGAATATTTATAATTTATGGAAACAATTATACCCTTTGCAAGGGTGTAAAAACAACGTTATGGTAACGTTAAATGTTATTCATACTGTAGTGTGCCCGTATTTCCTTTGCGATTTCGTTGCTGGACCGTTTTTGATTTCTAATCCTTGCTGCTTTTTCTAGTTGCGAAGCTTATTACATAGTTCCGAATCCACACTCACCCATGATTCGAAAATTAGCGTTTACCGGTGAATAATTAATACTTAGCTTAATGTGCAAACCATCGCTGCTTTGAAACACCACTCAAGATTTTCTAACTGCAAACAACTCTACTTATACCCGTTACTCGTAAAGTAAAAGGGTATACTAGATTCGTCGGAAAGTATGTCCGTATGTCCGTGCAGAAGGTTGCCAAGCCCACTCTTGCGTCCACAAACGACTATACCACTAAAGCCCGTCTAGTCTAACATTTTGTTCAAATTTAAAAAAAGGTTTTGTTCTTATTATAAATACTTATCTACATGCCAAAAATGATTGAAATCGGACCATTTTTCACAGAGTTATAACCAAATAATAATCAATTTTTTGCAATTCAATCGAGATTGCTGACCTTACGGCGAAAATAAGCTGCTTTCATCAATACGCCGCCAAGCTGCTAGGGGCGCTCTAGGCTAGTTTGCGCTGCAGGCCAAGTGGCGCTATTGCCTAGGTGTGTTAGTGAAAAAAGCTTAATTTCTTTAAGCATATCTCCATCCCTCTCGCATTCCCTTGAGCTGAGTAACGGGTATCTAATAGACGATGGAATTTCCACTGTCTGTCTGTCCGTCCGTATGAACGCTGAGATCTCGGAAACTATTACTGGGTTTATGCGATGCCGAATTCACACTTTCATTTCGCGATTTCAGCCGATTCGTGTGTGCATAAACGCCATTTCGTGAATTCGGCAACACACGAAAGTTGACTATGAATTCAACCTTAAAGCGTGAAATGGTCACAAGTAAACTCCGGTAACTGTATATAATTATCGGAGCTACCAGATCGATATAAATACATAAAAACACCTTACTTTTAACAAATTATTTTTTAATTCGGTGCCAATGGAAACGAGTTTTTATCTTTTATTTTGATGGTAGAAAAAATGTTATACTGGCTTGCACACATTTTATCTTTAATATTAGCAAGATTATTTCATGCGAATCGAAAAAAATTTTCGGGTTAAATATCGCTCACACCTTTTTCCACCGGTCCGGCATCTCTGTCAGCTGAGATTGATAAAATGCATGAATTCGGCCGCGTCGCATAAACAGGAGCAAATTTTATTTTATAATGCATTTTAGTATACAATGCATAATTACAGAAACTTTAAGATAATGTTCATTTCAATTTACTACAGTATATAATAACCGAAAACGTTATATTTCGTTTTTGTATTATTTTGACATTAATTATCCGATCGCTCCTAAGGCAGCACTATGATCGAGTCGTCCGATTTTTCAATTATTTTTTCGAAATTCTGAAATATTAAAGGAATGTATTCCCAAGAGTAGAAGTTAATATGTCAAAAACAATGAAGTTATATTTTTATACTCCTAAAGTAAAAGGGTATACTAGATTCGTGGGAAAGTATGTACGAAGTAGAAGGAAGCGTTTCCGACCCCATAAAGTATATAAATTATGTTTTTCGCTTCGGGATATATTAAAAAATGCGGAGTTTTTTTTTGGTAAAGCTCTTTCTAGTTAGATCCCCAATCTGAAACTGACTTTACAAAATGCATTATTCTTATAATTATGGCTTTTAGCGGTGACAGCGACGCGAGCAGCGAAAGTGGACTTTGGTTAAAGAATTCTGATTGGTCAAATCTGTGGCCCGATAGCTGCATCTTTTGTTAAATTAATTTAGACTGGACAAAGCTTTTATGCTGACGAATGGGTTGTCAGGCTGTTGTTGTTTTAAAGTTTGAATGTTGTTTATGTCTGCGGTCGTCGATAAGGGCGTGAGAAGTATTTATAATTCGGGTGCCGCAGATTTGTGTCTGAAGAGTTAAATGTAACTCCAATAACGTTTAAATCTTTCTGTCGCCCACGTAACCATATATTGAGATCGCGGGAATGTGGCGCACTACAATCTCGCTTTGATGAATTTTTCTATCTCTCTTAGGTCCCTTTAGCTGAGTTACGGGTGTCTGATAGTCTATGTACTCGACTATAGCATTCTTCCTTGTTATACCCGTTAGATTCATCGGAAAGTTTGTAACAGGCAGAAGGAAACGTTTCCGACGATATAAAGTATATAAATTCTTGATCAGGATCACTAGCCAAGTCGATCTAGCCATGTCCGTCTGTCCGTATGAAAGCAGAGATCTCGAAAACTATAAGAGCTACAATATTGGTACTAGGCATTCAGATTCTTGAGATTCCTGCGCAGCGCAAGTATGTTTCAGCCCACTCTAACGCCCACAAACCGCGCAAAAATGTGGCTGCTAAAGTTTTGATGCTAGAATAAAAATGTTTGACTGAAATGTATTGTTCATATCAATACCTATCGATTGACCCAAAAAAAAGTTTGCTACGCCCACTGTAACGGCCACAGACCGCCCACAAACTTAAAAAAATCGTAAATTTTAACGCGGATATCTCGGAAACTATCAAAGATAGAGAAATGGGATCTCAGATTTAGATTCCGTAGCCTTGTACGCAGCGCAAGTTTGTTGCGCGAATATGCCACCCCACTAACGCCCACAATCCGCCCAAACATGTGGCGCCCAAAATTTTCATGCTAGAAAAAAAAATGTAACTGAAATGTACTAGTCCCTTCAATACCTATCGATTGACCTAAAAATAAGTTGCCACGCCCACTCTAACGCTTAAATCAGTCTACCTCCCACATAACCATATATTGAGATCGCGGGTAGGTTGCGCATTTAAATCTCGCTTTGCTGCTTGCATATCTACATTTCCCTTTGGTTCCTTTAGCTGAGTAACGGGTATCTGATAGTCGAGGTACTCGACGGTGGTACTGTGTTTAACAAAAATACCAATAATACTAAA